AGCAATTCTGTGTGATTCTGTGTGTGTGATTAGATAAATTATAAGCATTAAAGAATCAGCATAGTAAGAATGCATTGCAAAACTATATTCATTTAACTCACCAGCATGCATAATGGATAGGTGCCCAGTGGTCACTGTCTAACTGATTAACAGAAAACTTTTTATCCAGAAGGTGGCTTAGTAAATCAGAATCGCCTTCGCAAGCACTGCGATGAAGAGGGAAATCATCTACCCACTGGTGTTCCCTATGAATTAAAAGGGAAAAGAGGAGGAGAACACAGTTCAGAAATATTTCAATAGTTGAGAACATAAATTTCTTTTAATTGCTAACTTAGCACTAATTATAGATCTACATGAAAAATTGAAAACAAAAATGAAGCTCATGCAGCTAAAATGTGCTCATATTCATATTAGAATTTTGGTCATGCAGTAGTCAAGCCACAGCTGACTAAGAAACACTTCCCTACTGTTTATAATTTAAACCTTTCTTGATCTGTCCTTTAACTATCATGTTACAGTATTTAGAGATTTCAAATAGAATTGGCTTTAAATACGCATTTATACAGTAAAGCCCCAAGTAATAGGAATCTCATTCTGATCAAGTCTACCAAGTACTCCTGTAACATAACAAAATTATTCATTAATGAAAAAGGAATGTAACATAATACTTGTCCTCTGTGACACTGCTCATGCTACGTTGCCACTTTTCTCTTTTAGGAATCTGAATCTTTGAATAGTCTGGGGCTCCAAGGCCAAAGTATGGATTTATTACCACTTTGTCAACCTGTGAAGACATAATTTAAACACAACCGAAAAAATATCTTACTGAGATTTGGCTAAACAATAAATATCCCATCCAGGCCAGGTGTTCTCTTGAAACCAACATTACGATAGTAACATCTGAATGATGTTCAAATGTGAGGATTTGAAAAACCATTTAGCAGTAAGTGTGCAATAAAGAAATCTGATTATATTAAACATAAAGCACACACTCATATTAAATAAATGAATGAATTGTGAAATGAAAATGTATGTATGTTTCACAAATAGAAAACAAAAATACAGTTCTTACCCTATTGGTATACTGAAGGTCAGATCCAAACAAAGGATTATAGATACACATATCTGCTTTCTCCAGTGCCAGCATCTTACTCTTTATTTCCAGGGCAGTATAACCCATGTGTAAAGAGCTCTCTGTTTGACCAGGTTCTATAGCATAGGCAGGGTTTATTACATTTGTTTTAATTCTCTCAAGAGGAGATGGTCTGAATAAAGCTGGGATGGAGTGAGACTGGGTGTGCCGTTCATCCAACCACCTGCAGGAGAGAATGGACATGTAATTAATTTTCAAGTAGAAAAGGACTATTTTGGTCATGCTTGTCCATTATTTTGTTTGATTAAGAGTTGCCTGTATGATAACCACACATTTTAATTAAAAAATATATCTAATTATATTGTGCACAACCAATTTTATAGCACTAAATTAATCCCCAAATATAGTTAAGCAAATGTATCTGTTCAAACACATTTCCTGTGGATGGAAACTCTCAAAGGAAATTACAAGTTAAGAGTAATATTGGTTATAGCCAAAACACTTAACCACACCAACACGTCACCGTTTCATTTACTTTCAGTTAATCAGTATTAGTACACTCAACATACAAATTAAAGCAGTCTTGTTAAAGGTGAGTTGAAGTTTCAGTATCTGTGCTGACTTAAGTCTTCTAACTCATGTGTTTCATTAGGGAGACAGGAAAAGGCAAAAAATCAGAAGATCTAGTTTCCAAACTGATGAGTTTCTTTCACATAGGCTACCACTTGCCTTTTCATAAAGCTGTACTGATGGTTATTCTCTTCTAAGCACACTCCTACTGACAGTACAGAAGGGCTTTAGAGCCCTCTTACTCTGAGCTACTGGGGAAAGTCAGCACTGCACGCCTCCTGCCACATATGCAGTATAACACAGGGCTCAGGGCATTATTAATCTCAAATTCTGGATAAATACATTTTCACTAAATTAATTTAGTGTTATGTTGAACAGGACACATTTTAACTGAGGGTCTAAAGCCAGGTTTGTATTTAGGTTTCTGCATGTACTTTCTCACAAGCTTGAGATAAACATGTACTTTGCTGGAATACAATAAATTCCTTTCAGTGATTTAGACTGGAAATTTAAAATAAAGAGAGTATATGCTTTAGAGAGACAGAGCCACTGACAGAGCACCTGGATTTTGTCTGTCCCAGAACAATGTGTAAGGATGGCAGAACGTGGCATGCATATGCTTAGGCCTGGATTTTTAAGTCTCAGATCCAAGCTATCATGCACTGCAAAAGCCATATTTCCTTCACTTATTCACAGTACTGCTGGGAAGGAGGACTGTAAAATTGCGGACACTTTCTCTAAGCAGTTGGTAGATAAATTGGTCACTTCTTTGAGAAGTGATGTTTCAGATTATGTACACAGAGAATAACAAATACAAACTATTTTCTATTATACTCACATGGCTTCTCTCACAACTGTAGGACTCAACACATTTTAAACAGAGCTTAGAGTCTGAAGGCATTCATTAAGCAGCAAATAAATACAACTGGCACAGTGGTGTACATAGAAATATTATGACTCTGTTAATAAACTGTAAAAACCCTACACACAGAACCTTTTTAGGTAACAGCCTGGAACTTACAACCTTTCATGTTAGCCAACAGTTTCAGCTAGCTTTATTAATGCAAATATGTTAATACCTAAGTATGTATGGTATTTCTTTGTTAAGAATACATTTAAAAGACCAAAAAACTGCTCACATATTCAATTTTCAAACTACTATAAATCTGGGTAAACAACTAATCACCTTTCTGAAAGTTAATTCCTTACCGCAAATAAATTTCTGTGGCTGAGGAACATGCAGTCCCTTTCTAAAGGGAGTTTTAATTTAAATGCAAATCTTAATGGTATACAATTAAGAGGATATTTTTACTACACTCTGGCAAATACTCTTACAGATGACAATCACGTCACTTATAGAAGATTAATCACTAGTATTTTATTTGATTTTACAAAACATTCACTGTGAGCAAGAACTTCAAAAAAGCCACTTGATTTAGATAAGCACACCATTCTTGAGTTTGCAAAAAGATTTTCAGAAAGACTTAGAAATCTGTTGTCAAGGTTTCAGTTTCTGATAAGCATGAAGAAAATAATGCGATATAACAATGTGTTCCTTCTTAATCACAAGAATCCTACAAAAACATCTACACATTATCTTCTTTAACTTCTATTTTAATGTATTTTTACTGGTTATTCTTACTTATCCAAGGCAATTAACATTCTTGCAGTAAGGGTAGCAAAATGCGTGCTGGATTCACTGCAGACTCTCATGATGTCTTGTAAACAGTAGAACACAGGGCATCCAGGACTGTATGCATATTTCGTATTATCTAAAAAGGAGAAGAATAATCTTATTTTCCCTTCTGCATCTTATGTAGTTACATGTTCCTAACTAATTGAGAGTATATTCTAACTCTAGTCTAAGTAACATTTTTTTCAAATGATAATTGATAGAAATTGCACAGAATCCTCACGTAACAATTCACAACTCAACAGGGTAGCCTTAAAAACCCTAAAATGTTCAGTTACTATTACATCAGTGTGATCAGCTTCATCTGAGGAATTAATGTTAAATGTATACTGTTGCCAGAAAAAAAAGACTAGGACTTGGGTCTAGAAGAGGTATTTATAGCTACTGATAACTCCACAATGGTATTTATTTGATAGTTTTGACTTAAGGCCTATCAGTACGGCAAAAAATGAAGGAGTTTCCCCAGAAGCGCAGACATTCACTTCATGCTTTTTTAAAGAAAAAATACTTCCTGACAAGCAATTTACTTTGCCTTTTAAAGACTTTATTCACCATTCCTTATTCAAGCTAAACTGTGTACGGACTTCAATAAGCATTCTTCTCTGAGTAGAGAGCCCTGAACTGAGTAAGATCTATAGAATTTACTGAATCCAAGTGTAAGACAAGTTAATGCATATGTTCTGAGATGTAATCAAGTGAACAAATACAGCTTAAATAAGAAGTGTGCTAGCATTACAAAACCAACGGTAATACATTAAAACCAAGAGTTTTTTCCCTAACTTTAAGTAACTTTTTCCAAGTTGTAAAGTATTCAGAGAGATGTTTCAACCTGAATGTAACTTTTAGTGTTTAAATACAGAAAAAGACAAATAGCATATTCATTAAAATTCTTATTAAACCCTCAAATGAACTGCTAAAATGGCTGCAACTTCAGAAATTATGCTCAAGGTTACCTTTCACAACAGTTGGAACAATGTAAAGAGATGCCTCCTGGCCTGCCTTCTCTCCATCAAGAGGGAACTTCTTCATTAACACTACGCGCTTTCCTAGCACAGTATTAAAAAAACCCAAAATTATTAATTAACCAACAACAAAACAAAAAAATTATCTACAGTTGGCTATCTGAAAGGTTAATACACTCAAACTTCCTTATTTCTAGGAAGAAAAAAATGATTATTATGAACTACAACCTAAAGCACACTAAGAAAATCTAAATACATATGAAAAAATAAAGAACATAAACATGTATACACCCATTAACATAAAAAATGACATGACTGTACTCCTTTTTTCATAACAACTTTTCTGTAGACCTGATTTTTCATAGCATTCACTCCCCAAACCATGTATCTTTAAGCTAAATAAGATTCTTTTTGAAATGGAAAAGCACAGCTGCATGCTAAATTCTATGTCAGGGTAAACGCTTTTTTTATGTAGTGGTATGACAGTGTTTTCCATGTTATCCTCCCTTCCATTTTTACAGAATTTAGCATTTTGTTTGCTTTTCCAACCTCAGCTGCCTATTTTAGTAGTGGCCACATTAAGCTATGCATATTAATGCTTGGGCCCTCTTTGTGATTCAGTCTAAAACTGTGTAATGAACAGACATTTTTGTTTTCACTAGACACTCCTCAATGCATATTAATGCTATTATGTTACTTCATGTTTGCTGCCTAGCTAGCTTTTTTAAGTCCAGCCAACTCTAGTTATTGCCACCTGCAATATTTTACCATGCAAGCAGCTCTTCCTTTTCTATATTGTTAGCACTGCATTGTCTTGTCCACACTGACAACCTTCCTGGTATAACCTCACTTACAAAGCAGAGATGAGGTACACCGCAAAAAAAAAAAAAAAAAAAAAATTTTTTGGACCCCGAAAAAAAAAAAAAAAAAAAGTGCTTTAGTCAGTACAGTTTATACCAACCTGGAAATGAAATATGCTGGCTAAAACAATCCTTGTCAGCACAAGTGTGAGGTTGTTTGCTATACCAGCGATGCAACAACAGTGAAAAAGAAAATGTACTAATCAAATTGTATCTGTAAGCAATACAGTTCTGCCAGAAATATTTTCGTGTAGATACTGTCTACTGAACAACGTTGGCTTTAGAAACCATCAATTCACTAGTTCAAGTTTTAGCTGAAATAAAGGATAAAAAAGCCGCTTCAATCTGGTTTACCACAATTTTAGCAACTTGAGATGAAGTATTAGTACAGACAGGCAAAGCTTCAGTTAATAGAAGTATCTTAGTAAGGATTTTACAGAGTTGGAAGGTAAATGAAAACAAAAGTAAATTAAAGGTTTTAGCTGTATAGTTGGCTTGGGTTTTTGGGTTTTTTTATGAACTTCGAAACATACCTTCTTTTTCTAAATTAATTTCATGCTTTTGCACAAACTTACCATGCCCACTTAATTTTAGAAGTATCTTTATAGAGCTATCAACAATAAACCAGATTCAAATGTTTTTACCTTTAATACCCTGATTGGCTGGTGAAATTGGTTTCGTGGCTTCCAATACATAATCCAAGATGCTCTGGGTTATCTCAGTGCCTACTTGTAGTTTAGTTTCCAGCAAAACTTTCTTTCTTTTTTTCTTTTGGCCTTCAATGGGAACTTCAAGCAACAAAATCTTTCAAACAATAATGAAACCAAAGGAGTTTAAGAACAACTGAAACAAGCACAGAATGTTTTTTTGTTGTTTTGGTGAGGTTTTTTGTATTTATTATACCACTGTAAAAGCAGTAACAAAATTCAGGAACTACTGAATGAGGAGGACCAGGATGGCCAAGTCAGAATGACCTTCATAACAGTACAGTTAAAGAGAAAAGGACAAGGCTGCACCCTTGTACTAAGGGGCCCACAGAGCAAAAAGCCCTGAAATGAAATACAAAGCCATTACAAAACCATATAAAGTGTTCAAATACCATAAGGATGGAGCAATGCATAGCAGATATGACATACACAAACATTAATTAAGCAATCTTATTGTCAAATTTTCTCTTCTGCTGTATTATTATATATTCACTGTAACTTACTAAAAACAAAACAAAACAAAGCAAAAAATGTAAATAGTTTTACTTCATAGGATTTAGCTCGATATTCCCGAGAATTCAGGCTAGCAGTATTTTTTGGACGAATCACAGCAACATATGCATCTCCAATGTTTTCTGGGTTTCCCATCTCTCCTTATTTTATCACTGGAAACAATGAATAAACAGGAAGTAAAGGCTCAGTTGAAAAAAAGAGAAAAAATATCCAACAGCACACTAAACTTCAGAATGCAGTAATTATATCCACTGATTCTCTGCATTATTAATTCAGTGTTCTTTAGCTAGAGAAATACCAATCGCTGATATAATTCTGCTTCCTTTCCACGAAAGGGGAAAATCCTACATCACATAGATTTAATGCAGATAATCTTGTTCTCTAGCCCACTTTTAAAACAAAAATAATGTGTATTTTTTTCCACTTTGTAACTATCCTCCCCATTTTGCAAGCCAGACAAAAGGTCAATGAATTTTAGGACTCTGAAGGATATATAAAATTGAAAAAGAAAACCATTCTGAGGCGACAAGCACTGTAATTTATAAAAGGTGCTGTGACAAAGTACTGCATTTCTACAGGTTCCACAGGGATTTGAAGAAAATACCTGATTTTCCTCCCACCTCCAGAAGTAGAAGAGTCTTGTGAAGACCCCAAGTAACAATGCTAGTAAAAGTAAACTATAATAATTATTTGTTTACTTTGTTTTACTTCAGTGGGGCTGCAAACAATGCACAATATATTCAAACACAGAGCTCCTGAAAGGAATACATTTTCAGTTGTGATGCTGTGCAAAAAGTGGACCGAGGTTTTTAGATTTAAGATAAAACTTTTCTTAGCTTTCTGTTTAACTCAAAGTGACAATTCCTATAAACACAAACTTTTATGAAAATGATAGGGAAAACTTTGTAAGACTAAAACCCTTCAAATATCAGATTTGAGAAAGTCATGTCTGGCCATTAGCACCTTCCAGCTGATAATTTTCTTCATCTGCAAATGAACTCACTTCCATTCTATTCATCAGTAAGCACATGGTTTTTGCAGATTAATCCTCCGCAAAGATTTTCAACATTACTATTTCTAGCTACTTCACCTTTTCTAGGGGAAACAGAGGTCTTCAGATTCCTATGCCCTTAGTCCAGTATTTTTTCTGTGATCAGAATACCTGAAAACATATTTAAAAAAAACCCAACACAAATAACAGCACGTACACTTTCATCTTCAGTTAAGATAAACACATTAGTTAGAAAATCTAATTGTGGTACTTGAACGGTAATATCTGAATAGAAACATCTATTGATTTGCATTACAGTAGCATCTAGAAGCATTACATAAGCAATGCGCTGAGTTGTGAGAGCTCATACTTGGGGATATTAAAAGTTTTGAAAGGAACAACAGCTATCCCTTATGGGCAGCTACAAAAGGCATGCTCCCCGGTTTCCTTACATGTACTGAGATACACTGGCTTTGGGTCACGGGCTTGGGAGGAGGGAACCTGCGCAGGCAGCGCTGCGCCACCTCGGTGGCAGGTGATGGTCAGGCGAATAAGCAATGGATGTTCAAGTGCCTTTGAAACAGACAGCCCCAAGAGCTGCGATGTGACTCCAGAAAACAAAACTAGAGGAAGAAGACTGGTGGGGCAGTGAGGTTGTGACAATGACGACCACCAGTCGTCACTGATCCTGACCAGGTCCAGGTGCCAACAGCGCGTTGCCGTCCCAACAGACTCAGGCTCTAGTGAAGGTGCCTTCCGCCGGGCTTCTCCCAGCGCCGCCCGACGGCATGCCCAGCAGCTCGGGACCGCCCTCTTCCCCAGCAGCCCGGAACCAGCCGGGACGGGACAGAGCGGACACACGGCC